CCCCAAAACCCCAAAACCCCATAGCTGCTTTGATTCTATTAAGAATTAAATTTTACTCAAAGAATATTTAAATTAACTTAGAATTTTATAATCTATAACTTGCTCAAATAGCTGAATGTATAGCTAGTGGTTATTTAACCTTCTTCTCATTTTGATTCTGTGACTTTGAGTTATCATCTTCATCGTCAGAGAAGCCAAATTTATCTCTGAGAATCTTTTTACTGATGGTCTTATTCTGATCCTTCTCAACTGCTTTCCTCATAATTTCCTCATCCTATTTCTTGTAGGTTTCTAGCAAGTACTCTATCTTTCTATCTATCTGCTCTTCCTTCTTTGTCTTCTTTTTGCTTGAGCCTAGCAGAGCCCTAATAGTCTCATCTTCATTCTAAAGTTATTTGCCAGCTAGCATGAGTGGTGGCAGTCTAGACTAGCCTCCAAGGTAGCTTTGCTTTGAAACATCTGAAATTTTGCTCTTGAACATACTACTTTGTTATAGTTTAGACAACTCTAAGAATCTGTCCCCATTCACTGCGTTTCTGCACATTGAAAATGTCATCTTTAAATACCCTGGCTTGGTATCACTACCTGTGTTATGAACTACAACAGGATTTCTGAGTTGGTTCTTAAGGTTTTTATAGCACATGTTAAGAGAAATTGAATTATCATACTCCTGGTCCTTGTCATTCAGCAATATCTCTCTCGCTCTACTTTTGAAGTAATCCAATTTCGCCTTGCCAAAGTCAAAGTTTTCATCCTGCATTTCAAGATCTTCCTCCTCATCCTCGCCAATATCTTCTCCATCAACTTGGTCATTTTCCTCTTCAATGTCACTCTCCTGCGAGCGCTCTTCTTGAATGATTCTCTGACGCTAGACATCTTACTGATCTATATTTTCAGTGATAAAGAACTGATCATTTTGAGAACTGCTCGGCTTTGAGGAGTCCTGCCCAGCTACAAAACGCATCTATTTATGATTAGGAGGAGTGAATATTTCCTTCTCTTGAGCATCTCTCGTCAGTTCTCTAGGGAATATCTCCTTCTCAATGTTAGTATTAGGTCTAATTTCAGCGATCTGCAGAGCCACACCTTGATTCATTAGCTCAGCATTTAAGTATTCACCCTTAATATCTTTCTACACCTCTCTTGAGAAAAGCTTGATTGGGTTGGGATAAGGGAAATTAACCAGTTACTTTTGTTGTTTGGTCTTCTTCAAATATATTTTTTGATCATTCACCTCCTCATTAATGATTGTAGCTGAAAGATTCTTTTAAAGTGCCTCTTCAAGTCTGGCAAAAGCAGGCTTTCCACTCAGACCAAGTGGATTGCCAGTAATGATTAGAAGTTAGAGACATTTTAATTAAGATAAGTAGGATAAATCTTCTTCATCGTGAGCAACATTGTAACCGAAGTCGAGATCTTACAAGAATTTATAATCCTCGTGTTTTATTAAGAAATCAAAGTGAAACCCTGAAAATTTATTTCTGCTAATATTGAGCCTTTTCAATCTTGGCATCATTCCAAGTGACTTAAACAATACTGCAGGATTAATAATGGTTGAACTAGATGAAAACAAATTTGAAGACAAATTTAATTCCTCAACCCCACTTAGCTCAAACATATCATCTGGCAGTGTTACCAAACTATTGCCTTGCAGATCTAGCGTTTTCAGCTTTTTTAAATTGAATAAACTTCTAATGCTAGAGGGTGTGATGCTGTTATAAGATAAGTTAAGATATTCTAGCTTCGGGAAATCCTCTTATGTTAAAGCTGGAATCGTCTGAATCATGTTGTACTATAGATTAACTTCTGATAAAGCTTTCAAATTTTTAAGCTGTTCAAGTCGAACTCTATTGTCTGACAGGTCGATTGAGTTCAGGTTTTAGAAGTAACAGAGATCTTCTTCAATGACTTCCACGATTTTCTAAGAGGCTAATTTACTCTTAATCGATTCATGCGGTAGCTTTACTCTACAGGAGTATAGGATCAAGAAACCATCCAGCAGTTTGCCCATCTTCTCTGGCATTTATTCTTGTTGAGCCATCTACAAGAGCTTTTACTCTTGACTAGTGGCTCTTTTCTTACCGTACTTGATTCCTCTTTTTGTGTAGACAGGATATATGATCCTATCAATGGTGGTCTTCTTCATTGGCAGTGGCTGTCTTTCCTTTTATTCTTTTCTTTTAAGGGCATATTATTTGGCATCATGATAAGGAGACTACTCAATCATCATAGCACTGGTATCTACTACATGTCTTTAACTGCTATTACGGTTCTTGAAGTTCTTGTTTTAAGAGGTTTCTGAATCAAAAAATTGCGGTTCCCTATCTTGAGAGTCATTTTTTGTCTTTCTCCAAGAAGACTGATTGTGAGGTGTTTATTCATCTGAATTTCCACCATGGCCAGACTCCTAGTTCTCTGAAAGAGTCTCCTGAATTTTATTGCCGTTTATATCCTCCTAGGAAATGAACTGACTGTGCTAGAGATTGCCAATCATTAAGTCTTAAGAAGCGTTTTCCATTAGAGATCGATCGTATAGCTGTTTGTCAAACAAACTCGTTTCATCTTTACTTGCATCGTCTATTTACCCATCAATTTTAGTAGAAAACATCTCAGTACTCTGAACATTAAACTACGAAATTTGATTCTGCTCTGAATCTAGATGATTTGTTGAGAGATCTTTTTTATTGGAGGAAAGAGTATTTTTCTAATCGAAAGTATTATGCTGCTGCTAAGAGTTAAGAAGATTTTATTTGCGAGAAGCGTTTGTTTTATTATCCATTTGACTATTTATTTTAATATATATTCAACTCATTTCATTTTATTTTTCCACAGGGGTTTTGGGGTTTTGGGGAGATCGGAAGAGCACACGTCTGAA